TGTTCTTAAACTTGATTTCTAGTACCTAAATTTTTTTTTCGTTAAAAACATGTGCCTGATATTTTTTTCATTATATTTTTAGGTGCATATCGTTAAAAACCTGTTAAGTGACACTTGTCACATTTATATTTTTAATTTTTTTTAAATTTGAATATGACACGTGTCACTTAACAATTTTTTAACGATATGCACCTAAAAGTGTAACAGATAAAGCATTAAACACTATTTTTTAACAAAAAATTAGGCACCAAAAGCCAACTCATATTAAGCATATTTTTAATTTACATGCGAGATTTTTTCGATAAATTTTAAATTTAATCTTAATTTTATTTAAAAAAAGGAAGGGAGCTTATAAAGAAAGGTAAGAGAAAGCTATATTCTTAAGTGGATTTAGAAATTGTAACTTAAAAAATATAAGAGAATAAAGTTAAGCAATTAACATTCGACCAAATATACTTCCACTATGTGAGAATTATGATCCGTTTGTTTCACTGAAAATATTTTTCAAAAAAATATTTTCTGTAAAATGAATTAAATCTTCTGGAAAACATATTTTATGGTGTTCGGAAGATGTTGTGTAAACCATTTTTCACTAGTTGATAATTTTTTTAGAAATTATTTATTGCAAATATAAAACATAATAAATAATATTATTTATTATAAATCTTAATATTATTATTTTAAAAATATTAGAATAATTTATTTAAAACTATTTATCCCAATATTATTATTAAAATATTATTTCTATAATTTTATAAATAAAAATATTAACTCTAGTATATTCTATTAAAATATATGATAAATTATATTGAATATCTATAAAAATAAAAATATTATATTTCAAAATTATTAGTAAATATATTTTAAGGAATTTTTATAATATTATTAGACTATTATATTAAAATTAAATACATAAATAAAAGCATTCACTATTAATAATTCAATAATATTATTTTTATAAATTAATAAATAATATAACTTTTATTAATAATTTATTATATATTATTAAAATAAGAATATAATAGTATCATCTATTATTATAATATAACTGAGTATATATTATTGTAATAATAATATTATTATATTATATTATTAAAAATATTAATAAATATACTTTAAATATGTTAATAATAATTATTATTTTTTAAAATGATACTAAAATATCATATTAATATTAATATTAAATTTATAAAATAATATTATTTTGAGTATTTATGCTTTAAAGTGAAAAGTTTAGAAAATGACTTACGAAAAATTAAAACGTAAGTTGTTTTTTAGAAAATACAAAGGAAATTCTGCTAATCAGTAAAATATTTTACATTGACCAATATGTTTTCCTCAAATCAAACACTGAAAAGTGAAGAAAAAGTTTTTCGAAAAATATTTTACGTGAAACAAACAAACCCTTATAGTTATAATTTCTATAAAATTATTCATTATCCAAAGTAAACAGCCAAATGGCTTAAAAATCAAAATTTTACTATGTTGGTAATGCTCAATTTCACATTGAGTGGGAAATACATTGAGATTGAGTATTTAAGGTTTACATTCTCTACTTCTTTATTGAGTGATAGAGAATAAGGGGACTTATCACGCGTCCATCCGTAAGAACTTTCCGGCGATCAAATGAGCAAATACCACCGGTAGTTCACTTCGATTTCGGGCGTACGAAATTTGAAGCAACCGTGCTAACCTCGTAGGACGATATGCCTATTGGAGCGAATATACACATCGAGGCAAATTCGTTTATAAGGCAGTGCTTTTCACCACGACACAATTTCGATTGATTCAAGTTATTTATTTTATAATCAATGCTAATAATGTAATTTTGCAGTCAATATTACCAACATACTAAATACTGTTTAAATCCATTTTGTATCTACTTCTCCAAGCTATATACCAACTCTATTAATTTACATCATAATTTCTATTTCTATTGAAACTTGAATTAATTTTTGAATAACCTATAATCAAATAATTACTTCCCCCCCCCCTTTTAAAATATAGACGGACCAAAACATATATTTTAAAAAATCGCTTTAGATGAAAATGCACGTGATACAATTACGTAAATGTACTTACCGGCCGTACAGAAAATGCTTTATACCCATACGGCCCATTCTGACCCTTCAAAATTTCTATAATGCCCAAACTTCCAGCTTTATTGATGGAAGCAACTCGCACGTGTTTCCTTGGGTTTGAAGCGAAGCTGATGCACGTGATATAATTATCCAGAATAAAATAAGGAAAACTAAGTATTATTTTTCTCAATTAATAAAGTATCTAATATAATTTAGTTAATTGAGAATAAATTACCGACCGAGAATATTAAATCAGAAAACAAAGGAGAAGAGATTATTTAATGTATGAAACAAAAAAATAATTCCGACAAAACATCGATTATTAAGTAAAAAGTCTAACATTATTCTCTACCACCAAACGGCAAACAGGCAACGTAAGATGGATACGTACACCCTTAATCACATTTTTAATTAAGTAGCCCATTAATTTATTCAGCCCCTTAATCCTACCTTTAATCCCATCATTAACTTCAAAAAAGTCGGTTAATTCTTCTGTTTTTTTTTTAAGTTTCAAAAGGAAGGTCGCTGGAAGACGTTGAAACGTGGTTAGGTAAACAAGTTACGGGGTTTCTTTCCTTCACAGCTTCCGTACAGGTAAACGCAAAAGCAAAGAGGACGGATAGAAAGAGATGGATGACCGGCACGTGGCAGTTAAATAAGACAGAGGCCGTTAAAGGAGTGGAGGTTTACAGGCTGGAACTTAAACTAAAAAACGAAAAAGAAAATAAAAGAAACAAAAGAAAAAGAAAAATTCATCATGTAAATGCTCTACAGGCTGGCGTTCTAAGTCAAAGTCAGACTCGAACCTTATCTAACCGATATCATCTTTATCTCTTATTATATTATATTATATTATATTATATTATATTAATTTCCTTTTGTTTTCCTGGAAATTATTGTACGCAGAGTTCAGTTCTGCCTGTATATATATGAACAGTCAATAAGAAGCAATCGATACGTGTTCCACTCTAGAGCGCGTGTATGCACTTGCCATTACTTTGATGAAGCTTATTTGCTAATCTCCTTTTTTGTCTAAAACTGAGATGTTTTATGTTGGTCAAATTATTCTATTAGATGATATATTATCTAAAAATTATAGATTTTAATTTTTATATTTTAATTTAATAAGAGATTAAAATTTTAATAAATTATTGAATTAAAATTTTAGTGTATAGATCCAATGTGAGACAGACGCTCCAATGATAGAGAGTCACAAAAAAGCTCTAACGGATAAAAATAAATATTAAGAGAGAGCGTTGTTAAAATCAGTGCAGTTTAGATGTGACACGTGTCTGTTCGCCAGCTGTATCCCAAGCCCCTTTTCCCAACCGCTTAACTTATACAGTCGGTGCCCATAACGCTTCTACTCACTTCACTCCTCACCGTTTCAACCGGTTCCTGTCCTCTTCTCTCTTATAAAACTACCTTTCACTAGCTCGTTTTCTTTTTAAACTTCAGGCCGAAACTAGAAAAAAGAAAGTAGAGAAGAAAGGAAAAAAATAAAACCCACAGAAAATCCAGATCATATATATCCGGAGAACCGATTTTCCTTTGCATGCTTCTGTATTTGATATCAAGGTTGTAACAAGCACATCAAAAAGAAAAGAAATGGATCGTATCAAAGGTCCATGGAGCCCCGAAGAGGATGACTTGCTTCAAAACCTGGTCCAAAAGCATGGAGCCAGAAACTGGTCGTTGATCAGCAAATCAATCCCGGGTCGATCCGGGAAATCTTGCAGGCTCCGGTGGTGCAATCAGCTGTCACCCCAAGTTGAGCACCGGGCGTTCACCCCCGAGGAAGACGAGACAATCGTCGGGGCTCATGCCCGATTCGGCAACAAATGGGCCACCATAGCCCGACTCCTCAACGGTCGTACGGACAACGCCGTTAAGAATCACTGGAACTCGACGCTCAAACGTAAGTGCTTGTCGGTTGGGGAAGAGAGTTTTTTTAATGTTTTGAATGGAGGGTATGATGGTAATTTGGGAGAAGATGAGGAGGAACGGCAACCGTTGAAGAGATCGGTGAGTGCTGGGCTTTACATGAGCCCCGGGAGCCAATCGGGATCCGATTTGAGCGATTCGAGCTTACCCGATTTGTCTTCTTCACACGTGTACAAGCCCATCCCGAGGACCGGTGGGGTCAACGTTGACGTCAACGTTATGCCATCTCCTGGAGCAGAAGCAGCGTCGTCTTCGAACGATCCACAGACTTCACTGAGTCTGTCTTTACCCGGGGCTGAGTCATGTGAGGTGTCGGTGTCAACCAACCCTGCCAGTCACCGAGTCAACTCAGACGAGGAACGAAGCAAAAAATGAAGGCAAGGGAGGAGGGGTGATGGGGTTCAGTGCGGAGTTTATGGCGGTGATGCAAGAAATGATAAGGGTGGAGGTGAGGACTTACATGGTTCAGATGCAACGTCAAAACGGCGGCGTTTCGGGAGGAGAGGGAATGGGGACGTGTTTGGATATGGGGTTTAGGAATGGTATGCCCATGAGCCGAGTTGGGGTTAATAGGATCGACTGAACTTGAGATGTAAAAGAAAAAACCGGACTTTGGTTTTTCTTTCTTAATAATTTTGTTCAATGTACAGAGAATGCGAAAAAAATATGGGTTTAAAGGAACATTTCAGACTCGTTTAAAAATTAAAATTTTACGCGCCGAAAGCCCCTAAAAAAATCAATATTCAAGCTTCTTTAACTTGATGATCTATTACTTGAATGAAATAAATTATCTTTATATGCAAATACGGAAGGAATTTCTGAATTTGGTAAATAAAGGAGGTTATACATGGTTCATGGTCTTTTGCTTTCTTATTTCATATCAGGAACCGAAAAGTAACAACTAGACGAAAGACGATCAAGAATCGAATTTCTTCATATACCTACAACAACAATGATTAACAAACAGTTCGAGGAAAAATGAGAAAAAAAGAAGGGGCTTCGGCATCTTCTCTCAATGATTTTAAAATGTATCTGGTTAAATGTCGCCTTGCACCTGGAACGAGGATAGTGTAAAACGAAAGAATGGCAAATTCCATTTGTTACAACAATTGAATGCTTTCCTTATCCAAGGACAGCAGGCATACCACCTGATCATCGAATGCGGCAACTGGTTTCATAACTGTTTTTCGAATTAAACTTATGAATGACGAAAATGGTTGTGGTAGCAAAGTTTGAATAGGTAGCTGTTTTCTACTCATCATTCCCTTTTCCCTTGCCTTCTGAAACTCTAGATCCGTCGTATGCAGAGAGAAACAAGGTGCTCTGGTTCTTCTGCAGAAACCTGCATTATGTAAGAACTGTTTTTAACATATATATATGAAACTTGATGGAAATTTTGAAAAGCTAGCCTTGAACTAAAACAGTGGAAATACAAAGTGTATCCGTCGTTAAACAGATGATTTTGGAAACATGCAAAAGTTCAATGCTCTCCAAATAGTATTTTACAAGACAAGAAAAAAAGATGAGGGGTAAAGTGGATACTTGAGAAAATCCATTAACTTCTGTTGCAAGCGGGTTAAGGTTTCTTCTTCAATGTTCACATATGCCAATAGCTCAGGGAACTTAACTGCAAAATACCAGAATGCATTAGTCTAGGGTTCTAGAGATCAATAAAATGCATTACACATACTTAACAACAAAGCTAAATGAAATGCATGAAATGGCACATTTGTTGAAACAAAATATTCAAAACTGAAGATGGAAGTAAATTAAATGCATTTCAAAGCTCTAAGTCAAACAGATAGCCATACCAAAGAGACGTAGTAAATGTTCAGCACCGTATATAGTGGATGGGGAGACATCATCATGGACAAATTCTTGGTATTGTTGACGCTCTTTTTTGTAGAGAAGCATCACAGGCAAAGCTTTGTCGAAGTAACAGCGAATTCCCTTCAAGATTTCTCCAATTGAATCAGTCATTCTGTAAGCAAGAAGAAAACAGACTATCACTGATTCTAATGTAAGCTTAGCCTTTTTAAAAGAAAGCATCTTAGAAAACAGGATTCGGATTTAAGAGACACAATTCCCACACAGAATTTCTTAGTTATAAGTACCATTGAGCATATAACAAGCAAGTCTGAAAATTAATGTCCTAAAGTTCTCCTTTAAAACTCATAAACAGAGGAGTTTCTCTATCAAATAATTTGTTATGACCAAATTTCATTTTTGAAAGGAAATATATAAACATTGGAATATATTATCAATATCACAGAATATCATCATAAATTTCGATGGAAAGTAGAAAGCAACAACGGAGAACAATATAATTATTACCAAAGCTGGAAATTACTTATTCAAAAGTTTTAGAATAACTTTATCATGGTTGTTTTCTACCAGGCGTGAATAGATTTAACTTACATGCCATCCTTCTTTGACCTGTATTCAAGGTACTTTGTCAAGATATCATCAACATTTGGTGATCGGGGAAGTTTAACCAGCTGTAGAAAAGACAGATTATTTACATCAAATCAGTTTATTAGTGTACCAGTCAAATGATTCCCTAATGATGTTACTTCAGAAGTTTTTGCACCTTATCCTGTTGAGTAACAAAATCCCAATCATCAACTAGCTGCTTCTTTAGGGTTGATGGAACTTGGATCTTGACAAGCTTTTCCACGGGCGAGTTTTCTTTCTAACAATTATTAAATAACATGTTGAAAAGCAAAAACACAGGGTAAGAACCAATGGGCATAGACTGGAAATGTTGGGGGGGGGGGGATCTCAAGAGCTGTATTCAACTAATTATTATACAAACCAGACCTCAACACCCGAGTCAATCTTTCTCTTCCTTCCTTTTGGCGCTGCAGCAAATATAAAACATTAACCACAATAGAAAAGGTTTATGACTGGCAAGCAGTAACAATATTACTTAAGACTGACAGTAGGCAAAACAATTGAACTAACGAACACTGAAGCAGACCATTAGGAATCGATGGTTCACTAAATTTACATAACCTTTTGCCAGAACTCTTGACAATATACCATCAATTCTAATATGTTAAAAAGGGGGGAAAAAACAAATGCAATTAAAAAGTCATGTTCATTCGATCTCAATAGAATAAGAATACAACTCCTTAACTTCAGACACCATAGAACTAGTAAGTCATGAGAATATCAAAATTAAGAAAAGTGCTTTATAGGACCCCCTTAGGAAAGGATAGGAAAACACTAATGGTAAAGAATATTTACACCACTGATGAAAGAAAAAAATCTATGAAGACAGGAAAATACAAAAACAAAATAAATGTAAAATAAACCGACCTGTGTTCTTCTGGTCCTCTTTATCTGCTTTTACATCTAGAAAAAAATAAAAGCAAATTAATGCTTCTACTATCGAATAATGGCAAATAGTAAAGAAGAAAAAACAGGTTCTACGTGAAGATAATGACAGCATCCATAGACATATGGTTCCATTTAATCATTAAAACACATTAAAGGGTCCCCTAATGGATAACCATACTTATGAACATAGACGTGAACATAGAAAAACAAAGCAAATAAGCATGTCTACATAAACAAGCCAATAAGTAGAAAGAGTTTATCTAACCAGCGGAGCTTTTTGGCTTGGACTGACTTGATCTCCCAGACTTTGAACTTCTATCAACACCCAGTTTTTTGTCAAGGGCTTGCTGCTTCATGACATTGTCTTTAGTATGTTTCATCAGCCGATCAGCACCTACCCATTCATCCCAACTGTGCAAGGTGTCAAAGCCATAGTAATGATTTCCATTTCTCTTTTACAGAAAGTGGATATATAAACCAATGAAACCAAACATATAGCATTACTATAAAGTTGTGGATTACCTTTCAGGATTCTGTAATTGCATAAACGAATTATTACCCCAAAGAAGTGTAAGAACAAAAAATATAAAGTTAAATAAAACAAAAGGAAAAATGAGTAAGTGGTTAAACATAATATATAGCTAAAATGCATGAAACAATTCCATATTTAATTTGATGAATGCCTACTGTGACATGCAAGCACAAGCACAATGCCATATTATAATACCAAGGACACGGCTCGAGTTAAAAACTTAAGATGTATATCAATAAGAAGAAAATTTCAAATTATAAATTAATAGATGAAGAAAACTAACATAGATTCCAAGGAGAGCTTATTATCAAAGATGTACTCACTTTTTATTCCAACCCTGCAAAACAGCAATCGAAATATTTCTTAATACCATAAAAGAGCAATATTCAGCTTATCCTACATGATCAAAATGCGACTGGATTAACCATCATGTTGAATTTCAAATATAATATGTATAATCGAAAATTAAGGCCGGTAGACTTACAAGGTAATGGACAAAGTATCTCCATTCTTTCTTCCGAAGCTCCGCTTTTTGAACCTAACATGTAAAATCGAAATTAAAGCTGTATAAGCCCTAAATCCCAAATGCTCTAAATTAATGGACCACAATGACCTAAGAAACCACTCATTCACTTCAGTTTCAGATTACTTAAAATCAGCTACCGAAATGGGATAAATATCGTATTTAAACATAGAAACCAAAGCGAATCGATGAAAAATGAAAATTTGAAGCGAAACGAAGGGGTTAAAACAGTCATATGCAGCGGCAAAGATGAATAAGGAAAAATGAAGAGATACTATGCCTTGGCTTCGTAGATGCGAGGGCCGTGATAGGCGAGGACACGTTCGCCCTCAGAAAATATATTGGAGTTGGAGGGAGGGGTGTCTCCGCCCGACGTATCGCCGTTGATTGCCATCTCCTCCTTCGACGAGCTACCCATTTCCTTCTTTATTTTATGTTTTTTTTTATTTCTCTGATTTTTCTTGCTGACAGGAAGAGAGGGAAAAGAGGCTGATAAGCTGATCTCTTTAGCACCGTTTTTTTATTACTTTGTCGAGTTTACGGTTTTTCTTCTTCAGCCAATTCTTTAACGAATAAATTACCTAAATAATCATAAAACATTTAGAGCGCTTTCATTTTGATCACTCGGAAAGTCCCCTAAATCTAGTCATCTAACCGTGTTAACGTCAGCCAATCGAACATGAATGAATTGTTACTGTTTTTAAAGTCTTGTATTCGAGTATTAAAAATAGAGAAAATCGCCTCAGTGACCAAAAATACCTTATAATATACGATTTTAACCAATTTTTTTTGGATTTGCCAAAATGACCAATAAAATCGCAACGCGATATCAAAATCGCAACGCGATTTAGAAAATCGCAACGTTAAAAAGAAAATCGCAACGGTCAAAAGAAAATCGCAACGCGAGCTTCCAAGTTCGCAACGCGATTTAGAAGAAAATCGCAATGCGATTGATAGAATCGCAATGCGATTTATAGAATCGCAAAGCGATTGAGAGAGTCGCAACGCGATCTAGAAGAAAATCGCAATGCGACTGAGAGAATCGCAATGCGATTTATAGAATCGCAATGCGATTGAGAGAATCGCAACGCGATTTAGAAAATCGCAACGTGAATTTTCTCTAAAAAGATAGTATCCGCGCGGACGTGTCGAAGACACGTATTACCACTACCACTACCACTACCACTACCACGACCACGACCACGACCACGACCACGACCACGACCCGACCCGACCCGACCCGAGACGAGACGGCGGCGGCGGCGGCGCGCGAGAGTCCCCCTTGTCCTCTTTCACTCAACAAGGAAGTGCAAAATACAAGCCTTAAATACCATTCCCAATAGTATTTCCAATACTATGTGGGATTGAGCATTACCAACACTTGTTCCAAATATCATTATTCTTCATAAGTTATCATCCATTACAATATGAATTAGTCGTGTTAATGAACCAATATACCTCATTAATATATGGTATTGTTGAACAAAAGAATGATGATGATGATCTTATTAAAGACCATCTAATACGAAAGAATCCAATGCATAACCGATACCTTATTGTGAAACTAATTCACATAGAGGTTGTACGTGAAAAAAAAATCTTTTACTTTTATAGTAAATATCTATCTCAATAATTTTAATATAAAAAATATATTTTTTATTTAATAATAGAATTATTTCATGTATTTATCAAGTTATAATTTTAAATACTTATTAAAATGAATTAATTTATTATCGATAATTCATATTGTAATGGATGATAACTTTTGAAGAATAATGATATTGGGAACAAGTGTTGGTAATGCTCAATCCCACATAGTATTGGAAACACTATTGGGAATTATATTTAAGGCTTGTATTTTGCACTTCCTTGTTGAGTGAAAGAGGACAAGGGGGACTCTCGCGCGCCGCCGCCGCCGCCGTCTCGTCTCGGGTCGGGTCGGGTCGGGTCGGGTCGGGGCGGTGGTCGTGGTCGTGGTCGTGGTCGTGGTCGTGGTCGTGGTCGTGGTCGTGGTCGTGGTCGTGGTCGTGGTCGTGGTCGTGGTCGTGGTCGTGGTCGTGGTCGTGGTCGTGGTCGTGGTCGTGGTAATACGTGTCTTCGACACGTCCGCGCGGATACTATCTTTTTAGAGAAAATTCTTAAGAAACAAATTTTTTTTAACTATTCTTTTGACCGTTGCGATTTTCTTTTTAACGTTGCGATTTTCTAAATCGCGTTGCGATTCTCTCAATCGCATTGCGATTCTATAAATCGCATTGCGATTCTCTCAGTCGCATTGCGATTCTCTCAGTCGCATTGCGATTCTCTCAGTCGCATTGCGATTTTCTTCTAGATCGCGTTGCGACTCTCTCAATCGCATTGCGATTCTATAAATCGCATTGCGATTCTATCAATCGCATTGCGATTTTCTTCTAAATCGCGTTGCGAACTTGGAAGCTCGCGTTGCGATTTTCTTTTGACCGTTGCGATTTTCTTTTTTACGTTGCGATTTTCTAAATCGCGTTGCGATTTTGATATCGCGTTGCGATTTTATTGGTCATTTTGGCAAATCCAAAAAAAATTGGTTAAAATCGTATATTATAAGGTATTTTTGGTCACTGAGGCGATTTTCTCTTAAAAATATTAGGAGTGTGAACGTTTAATCTTATACGGTTAAGAGTTATATTTGAACAAATATTATCTTATATTTACCTCAAATTAATAAAAAAAATTATGTTAATGTTTCGTTTCAAAAAATAATAATGGTGTTAATGACGTACGAATAAAGTGATTTTAATGATTAAAGAATAAATATTATTTTAAAATTTTCAAATACGACGTTTATAGGGTACATTTGAACGTTTATTATCAAACGATTCAAAACATTTTATATAAATTTTATTTTATAATCATCACAATTTAATAAAAGAAATAAATATGTTAATGATTGAACAATCACGTCCGTAATCATTAATTTTTAGAATGTTTACATTTTAATCTCTAATTTTTATTGATATTTAGTTATGCAACCTTCAAATATATATATATATAGTTTATATTGATGATATAATTATATATCTTTACATAAAATTTTATATTGAATGTAGTAATAGTTATATTTAATACATTAAACCGCAAAATCAATAATAATGAACTTTAAAAAATGTACTTATAGTATAGAAACTATCTGTAACACCCCAAACATCGGGTCGGTGATCAAAATGTAAGAATTTAAAATTTAGTTGTTTAAATTGAATAAATTGAAAAGTTTAGAGACTAATTTTGAAATTTTTGTTTAGGACTTGATATCAAATTTAGGGATATTAGAAGGTCATTATAGTCATTTCAAAGGAAAGGAGTTTTATTTTCTTGTTTAAGGGATATAAACACGTGGAATAAGAGAAGATAAGGAAAAAGAAAAAATCTGGAAACCATTAGTTATCTTCTTCCTCTTTGACGTGGAAACCATTTAAAAGGTAAGTGAGATTATGTTGATGATGTCTTGTATTTTTGGCTTGGTTTTTGGTCTTTGGGTGATATAAGCTTAAGGTTGATTAAAACTAAGAAATTAGTGATTTATCAATGGACTAGTAGAATGGGTTTTTAATGGATTTGATGACATGGTTTAATATTTGGATTTCTAATAATAAATTTGACTTGTCAAGTGTCTAATTAAGAAGTTAGAAGTATTAGAAAGGATTAAGAACCTATTTGAACAATAAGTGTGATTTTTAGTTCTAAGTGTTCTAAGGAGAAATTTAGATGTTATAAAAGGATTAATGGACATAAGTTGTGTAACATCCCAAAATACGGGTTAGTGATTAAATTGTAAAGTTTCAGATTTTGGTGATTAAAGTAAGATGATTGAATAGTTCAATGATTTGTTTGAAAATATTTCCTAAAAGTTTATAGTAAATATCCAAAGAATTAAAGGACAAAATGGTCATTTAGCATGAAAGATATTTTTCTCCAATAATATAAATGAATCACGTTGGGGTGGGGGAAAGAGTTATATGAAAACTCTTTCTTCTTCCTTTCTTCTTCTCCCAACCGCAAAGGTAAGGTTTTCTGATTTGTTGATTATTTGTTAAATTAAAGGTTAGGTTTTGATCATTAGATGATAACTAAGCTTAAGGAAAGCTTAAGTTGTTTTATAATCAAAAGATTAAGAAGTTATAAGAGATTTAATAAAACGAGTTTTTATATGAAATCATGGAAAAGAGTTGATAAGTTGAATTTGAAGTTAAATTTGACTTGTCATCATGCTAATTAAGGAATATGAAGTGTTAGAATTGTATTTAGAACATATTGAAATTTGAGTATGATTCTTGAATTACATATGAAGGATAGAATTTTTGAAGTTATAGATGATTTTCATGGATATAAGTTGGTTTAAGTAATGATAGTTGAGTTTAATGACATGTTAGGGGTTTAAAATAGAAGAATTAAGTAAATAATTGATGATTTTCGGGGTTAAAATACAATTTCTGGATAGAGGGAACCGATACCCTATGAAGGGAATCGATTTCCCTTCTTGGATGAAAATTCCAGTATGTGCAGGGGGAACAGATTCCCCCCTGGGGGGGTATCGATTCCTCGGGAACAAATTCCCCCTGGGGGGGTATCGATTCCCCCTTAAATGAAAAAAATGAAATTTAATTCATTAAACCAGTTTAAGTTATTAACATCAAGTTTAAAGTTTAGGCTTCTGATAATTGTTTTGAAATGTTATATTTATGTAGATATTGAGCCTAAACAAGTTCTGGAATAATCAAAGGATTCAAATCAAACAAGGCTAAGGTGAGTGCAATTTTAATTGTACTTATATTATTGAATGAAAATTGGCTTGCGATGAGCCAATGATGGAGTTACTATGGTAAGAAGTGACTCCTAAAATGTTATTTGATATGTGATTTTTACATGTACATGAATACATGATATGCATAAATATAAGAGTATGAAACATATGTGATATATACTATGAGACATGACCAATGTGAAATGAGATAAGCTATGTGATTATATGAAATGATATATGAATATGCAATACGTGATACATGTGATATGATATGAAATGACATATGAATATGTAATACGTGATACATGTGATATGATATGAAATACATGGTTACACATACATGTGGTATGTGACAGAAGAGAAAGAACAAGTGATGAGAAATGTATTCATAATAAATGCCCATAGTATATGATACGAGAGTTATAGGTATAGTTGGCATGCCAAGAGTCGAGGGTTACATATGTCCTATAAGACATATGATAGGTCCTACGAGACACAGATTACATCCTTCGGAATGACAGGTCCTTCGAGACACAAATGACATCCTTCGAGATGATAGGTCTTTCGGGATATTTGTACGAGCTGTGGTGACAGCATATGTGTGCACAACCTCAGTGTACTCGCATACCTCTATTCTCAATAATATACATGGGCAATACAATTGCAAGATAAATTAAAGTGAAAGTGATACAAGAAGGTAAGTTTCACATGTGCATGGCATGATTTATAT